TCGTAGTTTTAGGCTGAGAAGTTAATTCGCCTCCAAACATGCTCATAATTTACTGCTCTCAAAAATTGCCCCAATTGGATATTCAGCTGACGTTTATATTGACTTTTTCGAGAAAACTGTTACAATGAAATTGGAGACTTTTCAAAATTTATTAAATGTATGTGAGCATAAACGATTAAACTTGACGCGAAATGAAATAATTTACTTCTCTATTTATATTGAATTATTTTCCGCATGAGTGGATTAATTCCATGATCTATTAAAATGTTGTGAATGCAAGAAAGACTGGACATATATGGCACATTTTCAAAATGTTTATTATTGTTCTCGCTGTTTAGTTTCTAGATAACGCATTAGTGGAACGCAATGTTTAAAAATGGTATATTTTTACATGACTTACATTCAATAAGGCCTTCTTTGCACTACGTTCGCGGTAACATAGGCAGACTCTTTTCTTACTCGCCAGGATAAGCCGCGCGGCAAATCAAAATGTGACGAAACTTTTTTGCTGCATATTGTTGCGAGGAACTTCACAGGTTACCTAAACATAATTTTATAACTTAAAATCTTTCATGTTTCTGAATTTAAATGCGATTACTTAAACTTGGCTTCACGTCCATATGAGCAACTTCGGACAAAATGTTCCCTTTCTGAAGGGAATAATTTTTCCACTATATTATTTAATCCGCAATTCTTCCATGGCAAAATGCACATCAATTCATTTTTTTTTCTGTCGTACGAAATAGCATAGGAGAGTCCTTCAATATAAATCTACTCATAATTAAGCCAAAACGAGTGCCTATTTCGCCTCATAACTGTAAATAAGAGAACAGTTTTCCAATTAAAAGCCTTTCTTATTAATTAATCCCCTTAGATGTTCAAAATGACTCGTCCAATTATATATATTTATTTATCAAGATAGATTTTGTCGTGATAGTTGCATGTAGGACTCCCTATAATATGATGGAAACTGCAAAATAGGAGCCGAGTTCCTAGGAGTTTTAAAAGATAACATGGTCTTCTTCTGTGGTACTCAAGTGCTCCTGGTAGGAATCACTCTTGGGGCCCCCTTAGTGTGCGCGAAGCGTTTACAGAACACTACTTGATGAATTTAGTGTTGTACAAGTATATGTTTCAAAGGCTTTTTATTAATCTGATGATCTCCTGCTAAGCCCGACAGTTTTGC